CCCTCGTCATCAAGAAAAAAAAAACTTTAGTGAGTTAGATCTTGTTCCCATCCATGCTAGTTTGATATTCATGATCATGTCTATTGAGAATATAATTAAGTATTCTAAATAAACGAGTGGTTTCTGCAACGGATTAGTTTCTTAAATGAAAGAGTCACACACTTATCATAGTGGTTAATTGTTGCACACTGAAGTCGGGAATGTTAAGATGTGTATTACGACAATGAAGTTTCTTAGTAGGGGCATGAAAACTGACATATATGCATATAATGTGAGATTGTCAATTATAAGATGGATCATTATTTGCTACCATAAGTTAATGCTATATAGCAGTATAAAATTCCATCGTGTATAACTTTAAACTCTAATGAAAATGTTGGGTACTTTGTTATTGGTTTCCCGTACATATTTCTTATATATCTAATGAAGCTTTCAATTTAAATATTGAATGTGCGTCGGATATTCAAGCGAGACAGAGGGTATAACCTAACAATAGTGCCTAGATGCCAAGGCCTAAGACAGCTTTTTATTTTTTGGTCAGTTTTCGTGCACTTTTAACTAATTTTATGGGATACTTATCACCTCCCACCGGGGCGGAGCCACCTTAGTATAAGGGGTTCATTCGAACCCCATTCGGCGGAAATTTATATTATTTATACATAGTTAAAATAATTTTTTTATGTAAAATTATGGCTCCGCCATTGCCTTCCACCATCGACAAGTACTAGCTAGATAGATGGAAAGAATCACCTAATGTTTTTATATCTAAGGAGTTTGAACCTAAGACTTCATGACTCTCGACCACCACCTAATTAATCACTTGATATACTAATATTGTTAATAGTTTTGCCCTTCAAAGAGTTAATATAATGAGTTTTAGAGTACATCTGCCAAGGTCTTTTTACCTTGTTATATATCCTTTTTGCCTAATTGAGATATTGATTAGTCAATGAACTTTTGGTGTCATTACTTAACTAAGCTGTCCAAAAGCATATTTTTCTAGCATATCTCATGGCTCCAGTAATAGCTTTCTAATATATATTTATTCTCTTTGAGAAGAAAAAAAAAGGATCTTATGTTTCATTCTTTACTAAAAGTTATGTGACAAGATCAAATTTTAGTTGACTTTGCTTATGTTTTCACCTTTAATACAGTTGTTCAATGGATGGAGGGAATAAATATTGCTGAGTAATTAAAGCTACTATATAGGCGAGTCCAACTCATGAATTCATTGTTTTGGCTTGGATTATGCAAAAAATGTACATATACATTAAGGTTACACATTTTGATTCCCCTACCAATAACATGTTTTTTAATAGTGAAAGTACACACTATATCACTACCCCTTCTACTAGAAAACCCCTCTATCTTTCGGGTAGGGGTACATTCTGTGTACACAATAGCCTTTCAAGATTTTACTTGTGAGATTGTGTTGAATGTGATGTTGTAATTCTAGTTTCATGCATCCTTGTTAAAATTCAAGATGAGTGAAAGTTAGTTTCTCAAAACATGTTTTTTCTTGTAACCAACCTGTTGAAGGTTTTAATTTGTCACGGAATGATTCAGGTAATTCTAAATGGAAGCAGCCTCAAAGTCCCAAAGGAAGCACCCATATATGCTTTTCTCTGCTACAGGCTTATCATATTATACTAGGGAAGCTCCATAGTTGAAAGTTGAATTACAAAAATATCCCTAATCATTTTTAAAATAATTACTTTGTCCTGATCATTTAACTAATGTATCAAACTTTTCCTATTACAATATTTGTATCTTTTGTCTTTTAAACTTCAATCAGTTATATAATCTATACTCTTTTCATATTCTTTGCACTTTATAAAGTTATCATCCTGTCAAATTTCTTTATTATTCTATTCTTACTCCTATTCTGTTAGACTACACAAAAAACTATTATTATCGCCCTCTTATTTGTTGAGTTTACTCTATCATAAGGTAATACTATTTTTTTTTTCCTTTGAACAAATTCAATTTCTGTTTACTGCTTAAATTTGGCTTGTGTTTATGCAATAATGTGTATAGATAATATTTTTTATTTTATTTATTTCACACACTCTGTAATTTTAGTTTGCTCCAAAAAATATCACATTGGGAGTAGCTATTGAACCAAATTCATAAGTATGGAGTATATATTTCATGAGTTTGATTTTAAATCCAACTTTATTGGTTTCATTTAGTGTTATTTTTGTATAATTTTGTGGCCTCTCAATTCTTATTTAGTATGTATATTTATTTTTAAAACATTATTAGTATCATACCTAAAGTTGCTATCTTCGTGAAGAAATAGAATAACTTCCAAGCATGTATCTCATTTTGTTACATGATATATAAATAATATTACATTACAAATATATGTTGCATTTGAATCTACTTTTTTCAACTAAATGACTGTTCAATTGCTAAATAGAGTATTATATACTTCATTTTAGGAAGTCTATATTAATATATTAGGATGAGACACATGTCCAGAAATCAATTATGCAAAAATTGAGAAGAATCTAAGTCAAAAGTTGAATTACAAAAATATCTCTTGTCTATTAATTTATTATCTTGAAATTATTTAAAATAATTTTTTTATTAATATTTATTTTGGAATTCATGAATTTTGACTTTCGTATTATGATAATAACACCCTATGTCTAACTAGACTTACAATCCAGTACTCATTATTAAATTGTAAGTTATTATTAACAAGAAAAAAAAATCACAATCTTTACAACTTTCACGTACTAATGAAGATGATTTTTCGTATTGATAATTGCTACAAATTTCTTAATAATTAGTCATAATGATTTTTCATTACACATTTAATATATACATTTTTTTACATATTTTATCCTTAGATTTTTACTCATACATTACATTTAAACGTATAAATTATTTAATTAATTAAATATTAAATAGTAAATAAAAAATTATCATATTAATACACATAAATTGTATTATCACTAATTTTTCATCGTAAATATATGTAACTCCCTAATTATATTTGTTATGGTTTTTACTCCTATCTCTCACCATAATCACAAATGGATTAATTTCATTTTCATGACAACTCTTTGTGTTTCTCAATACTATCATATCAATAGTGACGTTTGACACAATAATGTACACACTTAAATCAATTACAAAAAAAGAGAAAAAAAGAAAAATATCTATACTCTCTTCTCTCGTCTCTTTTTATTTGTTTAGTTTAAAATTTGTGTTTCTTATTTGTTGTTATTGTAAAAAATTTATAATGTTGTGTTGTTTTTATTATTGAGAATTTACCATGGTTTGTTGCTATATATACATTAGCCTAGCATGTGGTATTTTAGTATCCTCATTTGAATATTGAATTTGTGCAATAGTTATTTATTTTTATTTTATTCACTTTTAATCAATTTAGTAATCAAATATATATTCTTTTCTTAGAAAGATATAAGTAGTTCCTAGGATTAATTACGTGAATGAATTCCTTTTAAAAAATAATTACTTATTTTAAATATACTCTTTACTTATTATCATTTATAACAATTTTTTTTATTTTTTTCCTTTTCTTTGTCTCGCTCGTTCTTTCTTTCTCTATCTCGCTTTTTCTTTTTTTCTCCTTTACTGTGGCTTTCTTCTTCTTCTTTCTTGTTTCTTTCTTTCTTTCTCCCTTTCTTCCTTTTTTTCTTTCTTTTTTCCTTTCTTTCTTGCTTTTTTTTTCTCTTTTTTTTTTTGTAGAATAGTTAATAATTCTAGATTGAATAAAACTTGTATGAATAGATAATTAGATAAATTATATAATCGTAACAAATGAAGAGGCATAAAACTGTAAAATGATTAAACTTTAATTATAATGTATTACAAACATATTGAAGTTGAATTATTAGAAGAGAAGTAATATAATCGTAACAAATGAAGAGGCATAAGAAACTTAAAATGATTTAAGTTTGAATTAAAAATGTATTACATACAAATTAAAGTTGAATTATTAGAAGAGAATCAAATATGAATGCAGAATGTAGAAAACAAAAGAACATTCTTTGATTTGCATGTAAACTGAATAATATCAATTATCGTAACAAATCAATTGATTAATCACAAAGTGAATTAAAAATACAAAAGTGTATTACACAAGTATTAAAGTTAAGGTAGAAGAGAGAATTAAGCATAAACAAAAAAAATGTAACAAAAAAAATATTAGACAATGATTTATAGAGTGAATTAAACTTATATTTATAATGAATTAAACAAGTATCCAAAAGGAACATATAAATGAATAAAAAACTGGAAAATGAATTAAATTTGTATTAAAATTGTATTAAGTGGTATGAAATTTGAATAAGAAGAGAGAATTAAGAATGAATGGAAAACGTAACTATGACTGACAAGACAATGATTTGTAGAGTGAATTAAACTTGTATCAATAATGAATTAAACAAGTATCCAATAGTAACAAATAAATCAAAATGCCGTGAAATGAATTAAATTTGCATTAAAATAGTATTACACAGTATTTAAAGTTGAATTAGAAAAGAGAATTAAGAATGAATGAAAAATGTAACTAACGAAAGATATGACAATGATCAATAAATTGATAAGTTATATTAGTAATGGATTAAACAAGTATCCAATAGTGACAAATCAATCAATAAACTTCAAAATGAATTACATTTGCATTAAAATTTTATTATCTAATTCAACTTTAATACAGTTGCAAGACCATTTCAATATTATATTTAATTCATTTCACTTTAATATTTCTCCTAAAATCAATTTTAAACTTAACAATGGTCTCTTAAAATTGAGATATAAACTCCAAACGACATTTTCAATCATTTGTAGGAACTACCTATTCAATCTTATCACAAATTTATAAAATTCAAATAATAAATACAATATTTGAAGCTTTATAATGACCATCAATGGTGAACTCTTACTTCTGTAATTTTAAAGATTTGAAATTTCTGCTTAAAAACGTAATTTTATACAAATTTGCAGTATTTTTGTTCCTCTTTTCATCTTGTTTTTGAATAAAAATAGTGACATGAAAAAAATTGATTTGAGTAATAAGATTATTTAGATAAAAAGTTCAAAGAAAAGAACAAGAGTTAAAAAAAAGATGAGAGGAGGAAGATAAATAACACCATTGAAAGAGACAAAAAATTAAAAGAGTAAAAGAAGAAGAAGAAAGAGGCGAAGAAGCAGAGGAGTAAAAAGAAAGAAAGAAAGACTCAAAGAAGCAGAAGAATAGGAAAAAGGATTGAGAAAGAGGCGAAGACCGTACAATTTTCTTAATTCCAAAAAACTGTTATATTTAGTTAGAAAAATTATGTTGACATAAATAGTAAATATTTTTATAATATAGCATATTTATGTGATTTACCCTAGTTCCTATCTGAAAAGGACGACTTTTTTTTAGTAAATTACATAGATTCAAAGGGGATAAAATATGTAATTTGCAATATAAAATTTATATGAAGTATTTTGGAATAAACGTGCAACGCACGTTTCCAGATCTAGTAGATAATAGATGGGAATTCCTTTTTTTTCGATGAGAGGAATCCCTTGTTTGCTTCTGGTCTGACTTCAGCTCCAAGCTCAGCAAGGTTGTGTAATTGAAGAATTTATCCTCATTTGCATTTTATGATTGTGCATACCTTTGCTTGAGGAGGATATCATGTTAGATGCTGGATTGTTATGCACATGCACTTGAAATGCATCACATCTATATCTACTCATTATGTGGATTCATTTATTTCTATTTTAACATATTTATTATAATCGCTCACCTGAAAATAATTAAAGTTGCTGTCAATGAAATCCAATTCAATCCATGTCATGTTGCCATCTAAGAACAAAGATAATGTATGTTAAAGAATTTATAATCTAAGTAGCCCAAAATGCATGATGACCCGTCTAAGTAAACACTTTTCCAATACAAACACAATTAAATTTATATGATCACCAAATCACCTGATCAGAATTGCCTAAGGCTGAACCATCAATGTTAATTTTGCATTCATGTTGAGAGGGGATGGATAGTGAAGGCTTGAGATCGAGTTGTTTGCATGAGGGATTAATTATCAGCCATGCGACATTTAGCTGCCTTTGAAACAGACACTTGGTTGTTTTGGATGTAAAAGAGGTGTCATTTTGTGCAAAGTCAAATGCTTCGGAAAGATAATCAGATTGTCTCACACAGAATGATATTGAATTATTTTCCTTTTTAAGGTTCGTTTGGCAAAACCATTATGTTTTTCAACACTTTCCTCATGTTTAATTTGATTGGATAAAATATTTTTCAAATCAATTCATTTTTTTCAAATTTAATCAAAATGACGTCTCTTCAAAAATTAAGAAAAACAATTTTTTAAAAACTTTCCTCCAACTTCAAATTTCAATTTTTTTTAAAAAAAATGCACTAAAAGTTTATTAAAAAATTATTTTTCATCTTCAGTTTTTTAAATTTTTTTTACCTTGACCCCTCTCCTGCCAGACCCCACTCCCCCTCCCCCCCCCAAAAAAAATAATAAAATTTCATCCAGTTTTATAATTTCTTTTTTTACC